TTTTTTTTCCCCAAAGCCCCAGTAGATAGTTGTATGTCATAGCTGCACATCCTTCTAGTTGCTGTGAAATAATTCTTAATTGGGGAGAATGCTGGGCTGACTCTGGCCTTAGCCCTGCCATTGATTAGCTATGGATTCTTGGTCAAATCACGTAATCTGTCTGAGTTGCAGTTTCATCATCTTAAAAATGAGGTGTTTGGACCATTTCCGAGGCCTCTTTCAGCTCTAAAATTCTTTGTCTTTAACCTTTGACATTGAGATATTTTTCCCTACGTAAGCAGCAGATGGCAGTGTGAAAGTAGAGGATTTTTAAAAAGTTTTCATTTTGCTGTTTTCATCTGTCAAAGAATTTCTGCTCATTTCTTCCTTAAGCTTAATTTTTTTTCAAAGAATCACGTATTAGGCAAAAATGATTTAAGAATTTATCACATAATTGATGATATTATACATTTTATAAAATATTTTTTTTAGTACACGCTATGAGAATTATTACCCTTCATACCACCCCCAGCTTCCCAAACTCTGGGTTGCCTTGTAGAGTTAATGTGCATTAAGAAGCATAGATTTAAAGTCCTACTTTGAGGATGAAACTTGAAACTTTTCAAGTATGCCAGTAATAATCTGTGTGTTTCAATTCCACTGTGATGGTTAAATTTGTAAACACTGACTCGCAATGTCAATGCAATTTGGTAAACAACAGAGAAAGGTCATGCCTTTATGATGTCAGACATCTGTTTATGAAATTTGGCTCTTAAAATCATTTCTACTTTTGAAGTGTCTTAGTATTTCTCATTGAGTATACAGACAGCTCAACTATTAGATGATAAGTTTGGGCTTTCAAATGGATTTTCCTTTTAAAACACCGACACAGAATATTCCCCTCTGTCATATACCTATATCAGTCTGCTCTTCTGTACTAGCCCACAGTGTAGGACTTGGAATGGCAAGGGCCAGTTCATGACCAGGGAGAATGTGGGATGGCCATCATAACCTGGTCTTAAATATGCGCTTAAGAGATTCTCTAGTGTTGGCAAGAATGTTGGGTTTGGGGTCATCAGATCCTGGCACTACCACTTACTAACAATGAGACTGTGGATGGATTACATCATTTCTCTGTTTGAGGTTATTTAAAAATTTTTTTATTGGAGTAAAAGATGTATACAGAAAAGTGTACATATCATGAGAGTATAGCTCAATGAATTTTTTACAAACTGAACACACCCATGTAATGAGCACGTTCACATCAAGAAACAGAACATTAGCAGTAGCCTGCAAGTTGGGCTGTGCTCCCTTCTGGTTATAATTTCCTACCCCCCTACCACAGATAATCACTATCCTGACTTCTAACTGTTGATTAATTTTGCCTGTTTTTGTACTTTTTATAATTGGAATTGTGCAATGTGTACTTTTTTGTGTTGGTTGTCTTTAACTCCACGTATGTTTGTGAGATACATCTGCATTGCTGTGTGTAGTTGTAGATCATTCATTCTCATTGCCCTACAATAGCCCATTGTATGAATATACCAGAATTTACTTATACTTTCTACTGCTGATGAACATCTGGGTTTCTAGGTTTTGGCTACTATGAATAGTTCTGCTATGAACATTTATGTATATGACTTTTGCTGTAGGTATTTGTATTGTGTGTACATAGAAGTGGGATTTCCAGATTATACAGTGTGCTATGCTCAGTTTTAGGAGATAATGTCAGCAGTTTATGAGAGTTCTGATTGCTCCACATCCTTGCTAACACTTATTATTGTCTGTCTTAACCATCTTGGTGAGTGTGCTTTTTAAAAATTGGGAATAATAATATGTGCCTCGAAAAGTTGTTGTCAACTCAATTAAGGTGTGTTTCTCTTTGCTTTCAAATGTTGGGCTCTTTCTTCTACCGTGGGCATGGACAACCTCTCTGAGCCTCAGTTTCCTTCCATGTAAATGAGACTATTGGGCTTACCCTTAATATCCTTTTATTTCTAATATACTAAGCTCTGTAGTCATAGATGCTTTCCAGGTACAGTGCTAGTGGGAAAGAATTTCACTATCACTTAAACCCTATTACATGAGCAGTTGCCCACTTGTGCATAGAACAGGTCCAGGTAACAGTCATTTTCGCCTGTCAGTCAATGGTGCACTTCTTCCTCAAAATTCCAGGTTAACCGTGGAATGTAGGACAGTGGTACTGACTGACAGACTCATGCTTGGGTGGATAGAGTGGAGGCATTGGCCCCACCTGCCAGAATATTCTCTAGGCGAGGAGTAACCACCTCATCCTCCACCTCCCATGCCTCTATAGGATTGCTATTGGTTGTATTCAGTCAATCATCAAGTGTTGGAAAGGAGCTCTGGGTAGGAAAGATGCATGGAATATGCAGGAAACAAAACTCCTCAGAATAGTAGGATGGATAAGAAGGTGGGCTTAGGAGTCAGACTACCTGGGTTTTTACTTCTTCCTCTGTTACTGTGCTAGTGGCAGCTGCCGCCGCCACTGTCATTGCTGAAGAGCAATCAAGCCTTGATTGGGCACTTACTTATGCCAGGCCTTGTGGTCAGCTTTACATCTGTGCTATCATTTGTCCTCACAGTTACACTATGAGGTGGGTACTATTACTATTCCAATTTTCAGATGAGGAAACGAAAGCACAGAGAGATCAAATAAGTTGCCTGAGATCCAACAGCTAGCAAGGAAGGAGTAGAGCTTGAATTTGAATAAAGTGTGACTCCAGAACCCCGTTTTCTTAACTATGTGTTCTTAGTATCCTGAAGCTTTAATTTCCTTATCAAAAAAATGAGGATAAGAATAGTATCTACCTTCCAGGAATGCAGTGAGATTAAAATGAAAAGAGATTGTTTATGTGAATATCTCACTTAGTGTCTGGCACATAGTAAATACACAGTAGATGTTTGTTATTATCGTTGTCTTTTTATGATGAAAAGAATCATTTTAAACTTGTGATGGGATGGATAGATAATATGATTATGGAAAGGAGGTTACTGTTAAATAAGTGAAAGTTTTCATTTATTATTTTAGGTCCCGTCTGCAGCCTCTGTGTCTCATCTTTTGGAGCAAGACCTGTGACGATCTTCAGTGGCTTCATGGTGGCTGGAGGCCTAATGTTGAGCAGTTTTGCCCCCAATATCTACTTTCTGCTTTTTTCCTATGGCATTGTTGTAGGTAAGAAACCTGGTCACCATAACTTTTCTAAGCTTTGCGAGTTAAACATCGTTTTGCCAGTGTTATATTTATTATTCAGTTAATATAAGGAGTGAAAATGCTCAGTCATAGTTTATTTTCAGTGACCACTTCACCAAAAATTGTTGCTTTAGTAAAATGTCCACCCATTGAATCAAAATATTTGAAAGGATAAACGTGTTTTAACAATGCATATTATGTTTTCTTGCAAGGCGCAGGGAGGTTTTTCATTTCAGCACTTGCTCTGTAGCATAGAAAAGGAAGAGAGGCAGGAGCGTGCAAGTTACATATCCCTGACATCTGTCACTTCTCACTGACTTAGGAAGTGGTCCCTTTCATATGGGGCGGTAAGCAGGGCTCTGTTGAGCTGTTTGTGTTCAAAACATCCTGTTGTTCCACAGCATCTGTAGCCAGGGCCCCAATCACAAAGTCACAGCAGAAGTAAAGGGTAGATTTTAAAGCCTGTAATGATTATTATTTTTTTAAAAATAAGGCATGAGTGAGGAAAACTGAGTGGAGGCATGATTGATGGTGATCTTGGTTACAGGAGAGGAAAGAGTAGAGGGTTCAGGGCCTGAGGGCACTGCCAGTTTGGGGAGAATGCTTTCGTAATGTATTGTAGTAAAGGTAGTCAATGTTAAATGTCGCCAGACTCAGTATTCCTAGGAGCTGTTGGGAGGGAATTTGAAAACGATGAGTCCAGCTTTCAAAGTTTCTTCTCAGTGTCTGAAAGAACTTAGTTTTGTTGACTACCAATACTCCTCTTTTTTACTTGGGAATATTTCCCCAATAATAAATAATAAAAATAATAGAAGCTAATATTCATTGAGTATTTACTATGTGCTAGGCTCTGTGCTTTATATGATCTCGTTTAATCTTCACATGAACCCGTTTTGCAGAGAGAGAAAGTGAAGCCCAGTGAAGGGAAATTACTAACTAAAGCCGCATAGCTGGCAGACTTGGGGTTAAATCCACTCAATCTGGCACTGGATCTTGACCTCTTTTACATTCTTGTAATTATTTTTAGTGCTTTTAGAACTCTTAAAGTTTATTTTATATTTAACTGCATACCCAAATACTACTCAGATCTTAATCTAAATAAACAGGTCACTTGTTAGTGCTTTGAGAACAGGTAGTCTGTGTTTGATATTTTATGTTCCCTATAGTGCTTAATACAGTTTGAACCTGTGTGTGCAAATATATTAATCTCTGGTGTAAAATTTGATTGTCTTCCTTGAATAATCACTTTGCATTCTTTTCTAAAATCATAAAAATAAAAATGTAGATATCTGCGATTATGCATGAACGTTGGATTATTCCTTTTAGGACAAACCCCTTTTTAATAGAAAATTGAATCATTATGCCATTGGTATGATTTGGGCATTTTCCCTAAAACTCTGGACTACCCATTTAAAATTTCATGGGGTTTTCCTCCTACACATGTTTTCAAGGTTAAGGTATATAGCTTTTGTGAGTGCCTATCCAAAGTTGTCACTGACTTAATAATTGGTGAAAAGTGAATGATACCATAGCATTTGTATTACCTGTAGATAAAAATGAATTTTTTAAAAGAAAAAAATTATCTTACATTGTCTAAGATTTATATACATTTGATTGTTTTGGAAGAATATCTAATGGTATATAGAAAGAAAAAGACAAAATTAACTAACATAATTAAATTTCACAATTTCTGTCGCAGTGGAGAGCTTTACCAACCTGTGAAACTGATTTTGATTTGGCTCATGTTGTTGGAAACTTTTAATAGCTAACCCTGTTCCCCCTCCCCCATGAACCCATGATATTCAATTAATTAGATAGGATTTGATATCAGTTTTGTTGTACTCTTTTGTCTACTGCTAGTAGCGGTGGGGTTGCAGGGCTTCCACTTGTCTTTCCCCACTATGGTAACTCTTACTCCACTGGCCGAAGAACAATGTAGGGGGTTATCCCAACTACCATGTACATATGCTCTGAATAAATATCAGGAACTGGGGAAATGACTGTAGGATGAGTCCATGGTCTCAGTGGACCCACTGTGAGCCAGACCTGGGCCATGATCCCATATATTACCTGGCCCCCATATGACCCCACTCTAAGGGGAGGCCATGTAAACACTTCAGGCCCCTAGTTAATAATGCCATCTCATACCCTGTGTCCAACAATGTTCAAAAGGTATCCCACTTTCTCTAGTGTACAATTACCTAAATAAGTGACCATAATTCTCTTTGGGGAAAGATTCAGGGTATCATTATTTATATATTTATCATAGTGTTTGTTGCAATGTTCTTCCTTCTGGAATCCCGGTCTTTCTTTCAGTTAGTGATTCTGGGTCAGAAAACAGGCTCAAGTCTGAAGACTGTACTATACAACTCTGATTTGGCAATAGGTTCTGAATCCCTGGGGCTAGGAGGAAATTGTTAGCTCATGGAGAGAGCACTGGGCTTTGGGTCAGGAGACATAGGTTCTGTGAGCTTGAGCAAGCTCCTCGATCTCCATGAATGACTGTCCCCTCATCTGTGAAGGCAGACTAAGAAACCTACCTCACATAGGTCTTGAGAGGACTAAATAAAGTCAAGCAAAATATAAATAAATATAAAATAAATAAAAGAGTTGAGTTGGATTTCAATAATACAAAGTCAATAGTTTAATTTTAATTTCAATAATTCTAAAATAATTTTTTAAAAGTTTCAGTAATTTTAGATAATTTTTTAAATTTTAATTTCAATCATTAAAAAAATTTAATAAAAAATTGCTCACTCTGGTAATTATTGGGGCTCTGTGAGCAGATTACTGCTAGCAGATTATTAACACTTATTACCATGGTTGACTTCTTTGGGGTTTTATTTCATCAGTAGGCTCATAGTATAGGGATAAATAAATGGGACAAAAATGAACAATGACACTTTCATTCTGTCCCCATTTGAAGTAGAATATCCAGTTGAAAAGGAAGTACAGGAAATTATTACACAGTTTAAACTCATTCTCCTTTCTGTATTATGAGTTCTCTAGAAAAAAAAAGATTCCGTCTAATGATAACATTCATTGAGCACCAGTTCTGTGCAGAATTGTATTCTAAGTACTTTCATTTGTCTGGAATGAACCCGATGTTTTCTTAAGATAGACAGTATGACACAGGAAGGAGCAAGCACTAACAGGCAGGCTCTGGGGTCGGACCATGTGGGTTAACCTTATCTTATCCACTTGCCAGCTATGTGACTCTAGACAAGTTATTAACTTCTGTTTTTTTATTTTTTAAATTGAGCATAATAATAGCATCTACATTATAGAGTTTTGTGGATTGATGAGATAATGCAATAAATATTAGCTAGCATAACCATTATTATTAGTTTTGTGACCTTGGAATATTATTCAACCTCTCTGAGCTTCTATTTTTATTGTTTATGAAATGGGTCTAATATAACTTCACAGAGATATTGTGACTATTCATGAGATAATGTATATAGAAAGACACACAGAAGTGTTTAATACATATTTGTTCCCTTCCCCTTAAATTCCTTTCTGACCTCTTAGTTCAGGACCACAGCAGCAGTTTTTTGCTACTGAAGAAGGTCTGTTGAATCAGAAATATTTGTATAATATAGTAAAAGATTAAATAATATAGTAAAAGAAATTAAAGTTATATAGTATGTTTAATTATAATATAAAATACCAAAGGAATCCTAAAGTATATTAACTGGCGTACTTGTTTTACCATTTAATCAATATTTTTAAAAATATCATCTTGAAAATATGATGTTATCTTGTTTGGTTTTTGTAGCTAGAATAAAATGGCAGCTTGCTAGTTTTCAAGTGATTATAAGCCATACTGCCAAATCTGGTAATATGGGCTTCTATTTTCTCAATAACTTTCTTAAATCAGGAAAAAGAAGGTGTGGCGGGGATGGGGTGGGAAAAGAGGGTGCAAGAAATATGCCCTTAATGAATTGCTCAAGCTTCTTCCCAGTAATTTCTCTTAGCTCTTCTGAAAAGTACAACTCAAAGTCAGTTTCTGGTATTCTCTTTTCTTCAGGATATATTGTTATTTAGCTACCTGATTATTGTTTTCTTAATATTCTCTTCTCGATTTTTGGGAAAATTCAGTTTTCTCTTCCTTCATTTTCTTGGTAATATCTGCATAGGCCATTGAGCTTGGGGAGGAGGTAAACCACGTCCGCAGATAATCTGATTCTCCTATTCTAATTATAGCAAATGAGATAAAGGTCATTTCCTGTATATTTACTTGAGCAGTTAGAGTTTTATAAGTTTTTTTTTTAATGGTTATACCATTAAAGATAGTCTTTTCTCTCTCATGGATGTTCAAGTATAATAAGGAACTATGATTTTCTAATTAGTCGGAGGCTATATCTACATAATGCCGTTAATACTCAGGTGAAAAGTGAAAAATATATCAACATAATGGGTATGTTTTTGAGTACTTTATTATATTCCAGGCACAGGTACTAAATTTTCTACATTTTTTTGTCTCTTAATCTTTACAACTATCGTGTGAAATTGTTTTAAAGATAAGGAAACTAAGAATTAGAGAGTTTAAGTAAAGTTGCAAATTCCCAAAGTCACATAGCCAGTAAGTGATAGATTTAGGATTTGAATCCACTCCTGCCTGATCCCAGGCCTGTGCTCTTAACCAGTTGATGTCATGTTCAGGGTACTCATGCTAAGCATTTGAAGTTTAGAGCTATGTCAATCAAAAAACTAGCCAATTGCCAAAACTTGTTAACTTTCCATATAGATGTTTTAGGCTAGAAACATATACAGTACCTATATTTGGATGCTCTAAACTTATTTATCTTTTTCAGAATCCTAAGTTATAGTCTCACAATTTCATTTCTAGAAGTAGATATTTCTGGAATACTATATGCAATTGCCTATCTTAACTTTTGGTCAAGATGATAAATCATATTGGCTCAGCTATTCTAAGAGGTCGCTCAAATGCTTGTTTCAAAACATACAGAAGGGGAATT